CCCCGGCGAGGGTCCCAACACAAATCCCCCCCCCCCCCCCCCCCGCAAAGGCCCCCCCCCCCCCCCCCCCCGCAAGGCTGCGCGCACGTACACATCCATCGTGCCCCTGAAGCAAATCTCTACGTCCGCACAGACACACTGCCCCTGAGCAAGGCTGTAAGCACACACACACCTGTCATTGCCCCCAAATAAGGCTACGCACACACACGCACACCCATCAGCACCAAGCAAGGCTACGCGCACATGCACACACCCATCCCAGCCCCGAGCAAGACTGTATGCACACACATACCCATTATAGCACCTTAATAAGGCTACGCCCACCCACCCACGCATTATCATTTATCACAGCCCTCAAGCAAGTCTACATCCCCATCGCAGCCCCCAAGCAAGGCTGCATGCACACACATGCACAAGCATGCATTGCACCCCATGAGCAAGACTACACACCCATCACAGCCCCTGAACAAGGCTACACACACACACACACACACACACACACACACACACACACACACACACACACACACACACACACACACACACACACACACACACACACACACACACACACACACACACACACACACACACACACACACACACACACACACACACACACACACACACACATCACCGCCCAATAAGGCGATGCTCTCATACACATATGCATGCATGTCACAGCCTCCACGCATACACACACATGCACACCTCACAGGTTCCTCACATGGCTACACAGACACACATGCACATGCACATGTCACTACCCCTGAGCAAGGCTCCAGGGTCAGTGCCCAAGTGTTCCTGCATCCCCTGTACACCGGGGTGGAACCCACACACAGTCCCCACCTGGCTCCCTTCTGGCACTGCCCTCCTGGGCACCTACAGGGTGCTGGCGAGTGAGCTGGAACCCGACTCTCCGAAGTCTCCGCTTCCCCTTGGACTGAGGAACGCCCTCTCCCTCCTACTAGAGCACTGATTCTCCAATGGGGCCAGCCTGGAGTGCCTAGAGATCTTTTCAGGGGTGCCCCCACCATGATAGTGCTGTTCAGTGTGCAGGCATGTTTCACAAGACCAACCCCAGAGATCTCCAGGAAGAATTCATAGTGTTCAAACTAAGCTGAGCTGCTGTGGGTGTCCTGAGTTCTTTGGAACAGAAGACACGCTCTTGTTATATTTCTCTAGTTACAAATAAAAAAAGACTGGAAACAAAGAGCTAGCATTTTTGTGGCAGGGGATACCTTGAGCCTAAGCAAAGGTTGAGAACCACTGCTCTAGAAGAAATGACAGCATCCCAACCACACACTGGAGAAGAGGTTAACACCATCGTTTGGTACAAATACGTTAACAAAAGAAGAAAAGAAGACAAGCACATTCACCCAAACACATGCAACATGCAGGAGTTTCACTGCATTGCAAAATAAATAGAAAAATTGGCAACAAGCAGGAGATTCCATTCCTGACTGGCAAAGGATGGAGCCGGTAAACATGGTTAGAATTGGATTAGGAAATTTCCCTGGTTTTCAGAGATGAGTAGACTCTTTAATTTGAATGATTAGGTCATCCACGGGCACCTGTTTCTAGTAGTGTTGTCAAGATTTTTGTGGGCGATGTCTTTTATTGGACCAACTTCATGGTCCAATAAAAGCTATCACTCACAAAAATCCTTGCCTTCCATTTTTAGCTGTGTTGAGCATTTTTTCTTCCTTTGCTTAGGTGGTAACCTTAACTGCAAATTTTAATACCAGCTACATCAGCAGCAGCAATCCCTCGCAGTTGAGGATGATTGTTTTCCATGACTACCTCATCTGTTGGCCCAAAGATGGATGAGGAGGCCAATCTAGGACCAACAGGTTCTACTGCAACTTCAGCACATATTTCCATGTCAGGGTGGGTGGCTCTGGATTCTTGATTCAGTCTATGACATGTTTCTGCTGCTCCCACTTTTCCATCTCCTGTTGTCATTGCGAGGTTTCAAAGTACTGAGATCTTTGCAGCAGACTCTTCTTCCATTTGGGGAGGTCCTGAGCGGCAGTCTCCCATAAGTTGATGTCAATGTTGCATTTTTGCAAGTTGCCCTTGAAGATGTCCTTGAAGTGCTTTCTTTGCCCTTCTCTTGAGCATACACCTTGACTGAGCTGAGAGAATAAAACTTGCTTTGGGAGTCTGCAGTTGGACATCTGGATGACATGGCCGGCTCAGTAAAGTTGACGTTGGATGATCAGCGTCTTGATGCTCATGGTGTTTGCTTGTGAGAGGATGCTACTGTTGGTGCATCTATCTTCCCACTGGATTCAAAGGATCTTCCACAGGCAGCATCAATGGTACTTCTCCAGGGACTTGAGGTATCTCCTGTATGTTGTCTTCTGTACATTATCTCAACTCTGTACAGTAAAGTGGAGATCATGACTGCTTGATAAACAAAGAGCTTGGTCTTGAATGTGATGCTTCGTCAAACCCATTTCCTCAGGTGTCTGAAGGCTGCACTTGCACATTTGAGGCCACTTTGTATTCCTTCACTGATGTCAACCTTCTGACCCTGTCAGTGACAGGGAACAACCTTAAACCTACTTCCTTCTAGATCAGTGCTTCTCAAAGTGGTGGTCTGCGGACCAGTTGCTGGTCCGCAGCGAGTTGCCAGGAAAGAAAGAAATATATTTTCAGAAGCATAACATTGATATGTCATAGCGCCACAGTTCTTACGTTCCAACACTCCAGGTGACGTCACGTTGTGCGAGGTGAGGAGAGAAAGAACCAGCCGGTTGCGCATTTGTGTAGCGCTGTTACACGCAGTTGCTGCCACCAGCTGAACCGGGCACCGGTCCCTGGCCCACTGAAAAAAAATTGCCGGTCTGCCACATCAGCTAGTTTGAGAAGCACTGTTCTAGATGAATCACTCAGAGAACGAGACACGCTCAATAATGGCTGGCTGAGGCTGACTGTAAACAAGTCTAGTAGGAATCAATCTAGGTACCAAAGTAGTGCCACACCTTGAACATGAAGTGTAAACCAGCATTCAAGAAATCTGGTCCTCCAGCTTTCATTTTAAGCAGCAGAAGCCAGAAGAAGTGATTGTGTAAGAACCTGTGTTGAGTCCATATAACGAGGCCATTTAATTTTAAGATGAATTTTCTATTCTTAAGAGAGTTCTAGACATCTTGCTGCATTGTTATACACCTCTTTCACCATTACATGATTGAAAATCAGATGTATTATATTAAAATAAGAACACAGCCAAACAAAAACCTATGTTAAAATGTTATTGAGATAACAAAATATTTCACAATTTGTAAATTATTATGGTTGCTTATGCAACCTTATAGCCACTTATGCATCTAACCTGTACACTGAATGAAGCAAAAATCCTATTTTGTATACGTATGGGTGCTTAGTGTCCACTCATCTTTGACTCCAGTGACTAAAAATCACAGCATACATAAAGACCACAGGGCTTGATGGTGAAGAATTAGTGAGATTTACTATCTTCAAGACACAGTGCTCTCCCTCCCATTAACCTGTGATTCTGTGTGGCAAGGCATTAGCACCAAATACATCCCCCAGCCCGGTACAAAGCTCGCCAGCTCTTCTTTTATACAGATCAACCTAAATCTCTAAGCGAAAACTATTATGATTTTCAAAAAGTAATATCCTGAATGGCATTTAATGAGAGAAAGGCACTTCCCTAGCTTTAAGATTTTCTGCACACCAAATTTCAAAGGCCAACTGTGAAAAAGTGGGTATGAGAATTTCTTTAAAAAGTCACAAGAATGTTTTGTAAAGGAAAATGTTAGGTCCCTGGGGACAGCTATGTGTTTTGGTAGTTGATAATAATTTGTATTTTTACAGAACCTTCCAAAACATTTAAAAATGTTATTTAATTAAGCCTCACAACCTCCCTGTGAGGTAAGTCAATATTGTCTTGTCAGGCATTTTTTTTTTTTACTGTTTCAGCAGCAGCTGCCAGCATTCCTCCTACCCAGATCTACCCACATAAAAGGCTCTCATTTGCTTAAGTTCTCTCTGCTAGTTGCTCTACCTCTTTCTTCAGTTTTCTTCTTCCACCCCTCTCATTTTCTTTCTGTCCAGTGTCTGCTGGGGAAACTACTATTTACTCATCTTGGGTACATGATACCCATTAACTGCTGGAATAAGTGGTTCTAACCCTACCAATTCTATACCCTCTCTCTAGATATTAATTATTTCAGGATCATTCCTCTGATCAGCATCATAGTCACTGCCCTCCAAACACCAATAAGAGTAGTTAATGTTTGTTTTTTTAAAAGAAATTTTCCTTGTTCCAAGCCAAATCAGCTAAATCAAGTCCAAATCCATGAGTCAGTTCAGAACCATAAGTGGCCCTAAAACCAGCAAACATCCTCCACCCCCGCCAGGGGCTTCAGATATTTCCAAAGTCTTTTGACAGGCATCTTATGTGCTGGCCCAAGCCCAGAGGCTTGCAGTTCAGATGCCCCCAAGGTTCGCCTGCCCTCAGCCATATGGCAGCAGGAGCGAGCTAGGAAGGAGACTCCCATTTCCATGAAGTGGGCTTTATGGGTTACAACCTATCTTAGTAGTAGGTTTGAGGAAGCACCATGTATCTGGGTCCATGAAGGCAGTCTTCCTTAAGCGCTCCCACGGATAACTGTTCTTCTGGTGTGATTTAGTATCAATAAGAGTAATTAATGTACAGCTGTGAAAAGGGTCCACAATGTACAAAGACAAG